CAAACACTGGCAAATTATTATTTAATAATATCTGAGAATGTATACTATGGATCAATCATTGTCAAAATAATTCCATAAATTTGGGTTAAAAAAATATTCCATCTTTATGAGCGACAGCGTATGATTGCAGACCCAATACTGATCCCTGAGAGACACCGAATGGGTTTTGTGCAATTTCAGAAGATAGATTATTTACACATACATATTGCACCCTATTACTTAAAGAGAAGGTTGAGTTCCGGGAAGAGGTAACAAATAATTTGTGAGCGTTGTCATTGTTATTTTGCAATGGTGGAAGAACATCAGATTAAACATGTTCCCTGAAAAGCATGGCTCTTCAAATGCCTTCATATTCTAAATATGACATGAACATCGTAAAAATCGAGGGTAGGTTTTTTTCGCCATGTGCTCGTGTAGTCCCATATACATCATTCTGTGTACAGTGCTTGTAACTTTGCCAAGATTTGGCCACATTTCACATCATTTTGATGATTCTAAAACCTTGCAATACACATGAATACTTATATACTAGATGATCAACCTTTTCTGATAGATTCCACACCGTTTCTTTCACAATGCAATCACATGACCATAACTCAACTTTATCTTTAAAAAACTGGAAAACCACTTAAGTACAGTACCCCGAATACCATAAAATTTTTGTAACAATATTGAAAACTGATGACTTATAGTATACAATCGAATGCCTTGGTAAGATCTAAAAATATACCAATAACAACTTTTTTGTTATCTTCAAATGATTTAGCAATAATATTCGTAAAATCCAAAAGAGCCATATACGTACTGTAATTTTGTCTAAACCCATACTGTTTATGGTATAATATATCTCTTTTACACAAGAAGGAAAATAGACCACTATAAACTAGTTTTTCAAAGATTTTTTTGAGAAATTAAATAAAATTGATATCGGCCTGTAATTATTTAAAATATGTTGATCTCCTTTTTTGTACACAGGAATCACCTTAGCCTTCTTGAGAGTAGTAGGAAAGACACCAACTTGTAAAGACATATTGAATAAATTACAAAGCGGTATAACAAATGTAACAATAAATTTCTTTTAAACGGCAATATTAACATCATGATATCCAGGGGTTTTACATGTTTCAAGTTTTATTTTACCAATTTCAAATATTTCAGAAATCTCAACTGGTCTCATAAATATAGACTTTGAGAAGTCACTTTGATGTTTAAAAAATGCAAAAATCAACAGAGGTTGACTATTTACAGTGTCCCTACCGATAGTGCTAACAAGTTATTAAATGCTTGGACAATGGCCTGTTTTTATCTTGTATCTGTTTACCATTTTGTTCAATAAATTCGCATTGTATTTTGTCCCGAACTTTCATTAAAATATCATTTATGGTTTTCCAAGTTGCCTTAATATTACTTTTGACACGTTTAAATCTAGAAAATTATATTCTCGTTTGCATTTTCGTATTTCACTGTTTACTACATTTCTATAACACGAGTAAACATTTTTCCCGATAAGAAGTTGGATTTTTGATGTATTTCCGAAATAAATTCTTTTTGCACATTTTTTTAAGTTCAGCATTAAACCAAGGCTTTTGATATCTCTGTTTTATTTTCATTTTTTGAAATTGAAAGCATTTGTTGTAAGTTTCAAGAAAATATTTCATAAAAACATCAAAAACACTGTTAACATAATCAAATTTTAAAATCTCACCCCGGTTTGTCATAAGAAGCCTTTCACAGAACATAGAAATATTTGAGTCTTTATTGCACCAGGATCATCATCATCAAAGAGAAATTGCAATTGACAAAAAATAGAGAGATGATCACTCACATTATAGTGAGGAGTATCCCAGCATTTATATTATTTTCAGTTCTGTTCGTAAATGTATTGTCTATGAGGGTGACAGATTGTGTAGTTATTCTTGTAGGTTTAAGAATCAAGGTACAAAAGAATAAGACTTTAAAATATCAATACAACTATTTACATTGTTGCACGAAGTAACCTTTAATAAGTCTAAATTAAATTCGCCAATTAAAATACATTCTTTTTCCTCTTTTGTTACTTGATACAGTGGTAATTCTAATGCATTTAGAAAAAAGGGAATTGATTGAGCAGGTGGTCTATAAAAGATGGCACGAATTTCATTTTAATATTCACAATATATTTGAATAAAAATGAAGTCATTACAAATATCAAGATCTGAACGTCTCCTAAATTTCCAGCCAGTCCCTGATAAAACACATTCAAGACTGTCAATATTCTTCTTTAAACTTCTAACAATTAAACAGAGCAACGGTTAACAATTTCTCTTTGGAATTTGAATCATGAATTTTCATATTATAGTCTGATGTTGTATAGTTATAAGTATTTAGACCAAAATCATCTTCCAGAGCCCGAAAAGAAACTAAGTGATCTTTACAAACATGACATGTAAGATTTTTGGTATCAGATTTTTGTCTTTTACATACTACACATGCAAATCATTACACTTAAACACAAAATATATCAATAATACAAAATAATATAATTTAGAAAGAAAGAAAAAATACAATGAGGAACAAAATTGGACAATGGAAATTGCATCCAGAGACAATATAAATATATTTTTTTCTTCATAGTCATAACATATATATAGCAGAGGGGTTAACTCCTCTCATGATGAGAATTGGTTTATTCATAGAGATCAGAGATCAAGTTCACTTCCGATGAGTTTAGTTACCTTTTTTTTCCACCGCTAGCTTTCACCAAAGCGATGATTTGTCCATCATGTGTCCATGACTGTACAGATTTGTATTTTGTGGGGTCAAATCCTCTTGTATTGTTACTGTTTTAATTAAAGCAGATTTTTCGGGGGGGGGGGGGGGGTGATTGTCCAAGGGGGTTAGTTTCAGGGGAGTTAGTTATCTACGTCATTGGGGTGGTTGTCCTTTAGGGGAGGGTGGTTGTTAAGGGGGTGATTGTTTAGAGGGTAATTGTCCTAGAACCCTATACCCCTACCACCACCACCACCACCACCACTACTACTACTACTACTGCTACGGTAGTACCACCACCACTACTACTACTACTACAGTAGTACCACCACCATTTGCTACTACTACTCCTACGAACACCACGACAACTACTACCGCTGATACTTCTCAAAGTACGTAGTACTGCTGCTACAGTAGGCCTACACCAATTCTGCTCCTACGTCAGGAAACCATCGATTTTTCTCTCTTCATGATATCTATATTCAAATATGAATCCGGTTTGTTTTATATAACTCAATACTATCTTACTCAATATTCACGCAAACTTGTTCATAAAAAAAGCAAAACTAGTCAGGATTTTGAAATAATATTTTATCTGAGGGTTAAGATATTTTGTGGTCTTGTTAAAGATGACGCTAGTTTTATATTTTTCACATCTCAGGTTGCCAGGGCGGGCCAACTTGCGGAACTTCGGCAGCTTCTGAATGAAATGGACCCGGCCGACAGACCCGACTCGGTGTTGGAACACGACACCAAGAACTACAGTGCGCTTCACTACGCGGCCGGAATTGACAACCTAGACATGGTGAAGCTCCTGGTTCAACATGGGGCAGGTAGGGTTGACGTTGGAGGAATGGATGCAGGGAAGCTGATGGGGATTGTTGATCGAGGGGTGTTGCAGGTGAATGGAGGAAATATGTCTTTAGGGGCATCGGTGGTGGAGGGGTGATATCGATCGAGACGATGGCGACTGTTATAGTGGAGGTGTGTAGGAGATGATGGAGGAAACGTGTTGTTTGGGGATCAAAGGTGGCTGGTGATGTCGGATGTATGAGTGCAGAATGTCGATGGCGATTGGTCATCGAGGGGTGGTGCAGATAGTGGTAGGACGGTGTCCTTATTGGAATTAGTGGTGGAGAGATGAAATGCGAGCATGGGGCTGGTGGTGACTGGTGGTCGTAGTAAGATGTCGATGAGGAATTTGCTGTGCTAGAGATGAGGTATTGATGGTGAATTGCTCTGGAGATGGTGTGTACGTAAAGGGTCCTACGGTAAGGTGGCGATGGGTTAATGGTTTTAGAGGTTAATGACGACACCTCAAGGAATAACAAAATAAATAAACATCGTTGTTTTCTTTCTCTCTCTCTCTCTCTCTTTCTCTCTCTCCCTCCCTCCTCCCTCGCTCCATCCATCGCCACGCTCTATCTCCTCCTTTATTTCTTTATCCCTCCACATATGCTCTCTTCCACTATCGTCTATTTATGTGTCGCTGTCATGCACTGCTGACTGGTGATATATCTGGCAACCAATCATCTGTCGTCACATGCTATCTAGACGTCGACGATGTGGGTGAAGCTGATCGTCGTCCTCTTCATTTAGCGGCTGGTGCAAAGAAAGACCCAGCAAAAGTAAGGGACATTCATAAATTCATTATTATTTAATGTTATTTCATAAGTATACCTGTTCCTAGTCCAGAATCTGCCCGGTCCTTTATAATTCCCTACACACTTGATTCAAGCCGTCGAAGATGGCGTTATCAACAAACTCATTTTTAATGATCACGCCATCATCGGCTGGTAGCAAGTAAGTAGGAGGAGGTAGCGGTGGTGTGGTGGAGATCAAAATTAAACAGGCCAGATTCTGGACTAACCTGTTCCCGGTATACTGCGTTTTTGCACCATGTAGGCAATTAAAAATATATATATTACAATTAAAGAAAATTTAACAAATCAAAACATTATTAAATTATGTCGTTAAGTTTTATTTTCAATAAACAAAATTTAAAAAAAGAGTTATATAGCCTTTGTTCATTTTACACGACTCCATTTTACGAAAGCCGATCTGTGTGAAAATAGAATTTGATTTATATTATTATTCATTGATGGAGACAAATGAAAAGAAAAATGTATATCAGCATTTGTGATGTTAATACTAAAAGGTAGTGAAAATTAAGTTTCTATCACTTTTTGTATGAGGTTGAGTCGGCCAAAAGGATATCGAGACTTTCTGATGGAGGCGTCGTGATATTTTTGATGTCGAAAAATGCCGATGTGAATGCCGAGGACAGCAGAGGGCGCACTCCACTTCACATCGCCACTTTACAAGGCAACACTGAAGCTGTGGTTCAACTTCTTTCTAAGAGTGATACTGAACTAAACGTAAATAACAAGCTAAGACTATGGAACTTGCTTTGCTTCTATTTTATGTCGTGAAAATAATTGGAGTTTGAGAAACGGGGCATCTGCCTCCAAGTGTAGAGGTGACAAATAAAAAGATATTTGCAATATTAAGTCGTAATCTCAAGTCGACGAAATATTTGTTTATAGGATATTAACGATAATGATATGCCCTGCACAAATCAAATGAAGTAAAAGGTCTCACAGTGGTTCTTGTTAAGCACTTATAGTATGGCAAAATGTCACTTCTGACACTCTATTATTATTACTCCCGGCTTTACCACGGCTGCCATTGTAGTAGTTCCGACGCTCGCAAACGTAGATTGACAGGTTGCTCGGGACTCTTGGCAAAGGACATGAATGCTACTGAAGGAATTCGAACCCCGCAGCCTGTTGTTCACAGTCCAGAGACTCGTCCAATAGACCACAACCCTACATACATAAGTATTAGGCGCTATATAAGCAAATATAATTATTATTAATTATACTTCAGACAGACCTATATAAACAATGTCCGTGGATCAATGTCCTTTTCATTTATAGAAAGCGGATAAACGCAATACGACCCCGCTGTTGCTGGCATGCCTTTACGGGAAGATCGACATCGCCATCCTTCTCATCAACAAGGGAGCCGACCTGACGGTGTACGATGATAACTACGACACCACGCTCCACATCGCCTTCAACGAGGGCTACAAAAAGATCGCGAGGAAGATCATCGAAAAAGCAAAGGAGACCGGTAAATTAAAAGAAGTACGTTTAAACTTTTACACATTCTCATGATTATGATTATCATATTACTATTTCTTTTTCTTTTTGTCTTTCCTTCTCTCTTTATTACCCATCTCACTTCCTTTTTACTTTATTGAAATTAGAGTTTAAGTAGGACATTTCTGCACGTTAATAGGAAATCGTTGCACGGTAAAAAAGTACTATCAAAATACAAATGCATCTCTCCCAATCGAAATGTGAAAACAATGAAAACGTTAAAGGGAAAAGGGAAAGAAAGAAATGGACTGAGAGAGAGAGAGAGAAAGGGAGAGAGAGGGACCAGAAAGTATCCCTTCTATTCACATGTGCCCCGCCTATGGTAAGAGTAAGACCATAGCTACACTAATCATGCTAATGTCACCACGATATGTGCTTTAGCTGGGTTACAGTTTTGCATAAGTCGAAGCTCGTAAATCCACTGAACATGGACACAAAAGTTTCCATACCATATTTCATTGTGACATACATGTTCAACGCATCTACTATCTTTCTCTAGATTCTAATCGAGAAAAACAGAGACGGCGTTGCACCAATCCATCTAGCCGTGAGAGGAGGGCACAAAGAATTAGTCCAACTTTCCCTTGAACACGGTATGAACTGATTTCTATTATAGACTGATATAATAAAATAATACAATAGACAGTGACACATGTACACACTGTTTTATTATTGTTTTTATTTAGAGTGCGCAAGCCAGTGCAGTAAATGGTATTTAGTGTGTGTGTTTGTGTGTGTGTGTGTGTGTGTGTGTGTGTGTGTGTGTGTGTGTGGTGGGGGGGGGGGGGCTAGTAAGGGATCAAGCTAAGGGGGGTGGTGAAAGCTTTTTGTAATTTGATATTTGAAATCGTGCAAAATTTTGGTAAGTTTAATCGACTTCATAATTTCATAATTTAGAAAAGGTAGAGGAGTTTTGCTTTACCAAATATTGTGTATATATTTCAACTCAACATAATCATTCAACATATAAATCCTCATATTTCTGTCGGAGGGGGCGGGATTGAGAATGCCTACACTTGCCCCTCCTCTTTCGTATAAGCTGATGGAGCAAGTAGGCGCATTCTTTCGTATTTATTTTATCTTAAATATTGTTAGTTATAATTTTCCTGTAACCTACATATTTCTCAATGAAACATGATCATTTAAACATGTTACATAAAGTAATATAAAGTGTAAATACATCTTTTCATGATTAAGCTGTGTGTACGCTGTGCTTATATAAATCTCACTACATTACTATAATTTCGCTGAAAATTACACACAATAACATATGGGTTTTCCTTTTGAAAAAAATAATGTATTTCACAGTGTTAAAGGACGACGACAGCGACGATGATGACGAATGTGTGGTTAACTACGGGGGAGGAGAGAATGACGACACACCCCTGCACGAAGCTTGCTCTGCTGGCCATCTGGAAATGGTGAAGATGCTGTTGGAAAAGGGCGCCAAAATCAACGTCACAAATAGGGATAGCGAAACCGCTCTCCATCATGCCTGCAAACAGAACCATCAAATAGTGGCGGAGTTTTTGAGCGAAAAGTGAGAAATAGTCTCACATTTAAAAGCGATTTATGTAGCTCAAACACCCACTATGCATTTAGTATCATCGATTTAAAAAGTGGTTTGAATGAGTGGTGCCGAAACACGATTCAATGCTAAGATACAAGGGGAAAGCAAAATTATCAGATAGAAAACTACGATCACAATAGGATTAAAGCAGTTGATTGAAAAGAATAAACAGAAAAGATAAAGACTAAAGCAGGGCTCCCACTTAGCCGAGTTGTATTAGCGAGTTATGACGAGTTGTGGTGAGTTGCCTCAAAGAGGCACTCGCAATAACTCGCGAATAATTCGGTATGGCTTAGCGTAACTCTTTACAACATTCCACGACTCTCCTCGAAGTCGCGAGTTCACCTCGAGTAACAACGAATTCACCTCGAGCAACAACGAATCAGTGACAATTTTGAACATGTTCAAAATTTTCGCTGATTCGTTGTAGCTCGAGGTGAACTTGCTTAACACTCGTAATATACTCGTAGCAACTCGCCACCTTATGAAAAGTGTAGAGTGAGCTTGTCACAAGTAATGCGTGTATATTGCGAGTGTAGGAGAGTTCACCTCGAATTGCAACGAATCGGGGATTTTTTTTTTAACATGTTCCAAATTTTGGAACTGCTCGCGACTTCGAGGAGAGTCGTGGAATGTTGTAAAGAGTTACGCTAAGCCATACCGAATTATTCGCGAGTTATTGCGAGTGCATCTTTGAGGCAACTCACCACAACTCGCCATAACTCGATAATACAACTCGGCTAAGTGGGAGCCCTGCTTTAGGTACAGAAAAAGGAGGAGGATAAAGGGACAAAATAAAATTCAATAAAAGGGGAAAATAAAACAAATGAAGAGTCGAGGGAGAGAATGAAAATATTTAAGACGATGAGTGCATGGGGAGGATAAAACATACCATAAGACATCGACGTTCAGGGCATATTAATGGTAAAGAATTGAGAAAAAGGAAAGAAAAAGAGATTAGTCTATCAACGTAACTTCTCCTAGCTGGGACGGTTGATTGTAACACTTTTCTACACATCTCTGCCTTCTGCCATTCTAGTACACTCTTGTAATGTCATTCCACTCCATGTCTTATTGTTTTCCTTCCAATAAATCACTCAATTTCGCATGTTTTTCTTTAACCATTTATAATGATCAGGATATTTTGTTTAAGCCCTGCCATATGTAATTCTTATTAGCTTTCATATTTTTCCATTATGATTTAAAACGACAAATTTAACTCCTACAGCGGTGCTGACATTCGTGCCAAGAACGATGAAGAGCTCACGCCGCTCCAGGTCGCGACCAACTCCGGAAGCTTCGAAACCATCATCGGTCTCCTCGACCGTCATCGTAACTTGAATACGAGCTTGACTACGAGTGATAATCAGGACACAGCCTCGGAGCTCCTCAAGTGGGCGGCTACGGAGAACAAAGCAAATACACTACAGGTAAGCAAATAAAAAGGGATACGTTCACACGAGTGATGATAATGGACATGACGAATAAGAGACGAAAAAGAGGAAGAATAAGAAAAAGGTGAAAGAAGAAAAAATACATGTAAATAGAACAAGAAGGTGAAGGTTACCGTGTTGATTTTTGAGATAATTCTTTTTTATTTTGCTGATATTGGTTGTGATAACGTCAGTGGTGGTACCGGCAATAATGGTGATGTTCTTGATAATGACGACTACGACGACGTCGATGATAGCACGGATGCATAGACTGAAGATAATTAAAACCCGAGGCAGTTCCAATAGCCTTAACCACGCCATCACCTTTACGTGTGAACATGAATATGACATAAGCCCAAACAAATTATTTCTATGGCATATGCATAGGGTACGAAATTATCGTTGAGTTGATTCAATGATAAGGTTTGATCGTTGTGGTGGTTATGATGATGTTATTGTTGACAAGGATGATGTTGATGATGACAAGGATTGGGATGAGGATGAGGATAACGATCACTGTTTCAACAAGGATGATTAGAAGAATAATGATAATAACGTCGTCTCTTCTTTACATTTAGCTTCTTCTGCATCACGGTACTAAGCTCCATGGCCTCAGTGATGACGAAATCGCCGAATTCGTTCTCGATGCCGCCAAGAAAGGACACACAGAGTAAATCATTACACTTCTTGAAATTGAAAGAATATTAATGTCATAACATTTCTTAGTAATGATTATTTGAACACATTTTGATCAATGAAAATATGCATAATTTGCTACAAGGCCTTTGTTAGATGGTGTTTTTTCATTGAGATGGTATTTATCATACATATTTTCGGCATTTTAACATGAGCTGTTATATGATCTCCCACCCTGCCCGCAAGAAAAATAGCCACAGCCGATGTGACAGTTTTTACAGATGAGGTTTTTTCTTTGTTTAAAGTCCAGAACTTCTGTGTTTTTCAGAAAATACGATGGTATATAACATTTATATTCATGATGTTTCATTGTGCAGAACGGTAGCGGCATTGATTCGATGGAAGCGAAGCGACGTCGTCAATACATGCGACGACATGGGTAACGCACCGCTCCACTATGCCTCTGAGGCTGGACATGACCTGACCGTTCAGGAGCTCATCAAGGCGTTGGCTGACGTAAATGATACGTAAGAACTCTGAAATCTATAGTCTCGTTCAGAAAAGACGCGGTTTGTCACCGCGAAAAAACCGCGTTTTGTTTAAACGTGGATTAAAATGAACGGTAACTGCGCGCAACAAAGATCTTTCGCGCATTCACTGAGTTCTGTTCTATGAGATAATTAGATAAACTATTACACCGAACATCATCTTTAAAAGAAAACCTGTCCGGCTTTGCTGCATCGAACTTATATTTCTCCTATATAATTATTTTGGAATTATCTGAGAATCACATAGAGGAAAATATTTCATCCCCCTATTATTTTGTTGCACGGCGAAATGAAAACAATTCAGTGTTTCAATGTAGAATTGTATCATTTTTTTTGATCAATGGTTATTTTAATTCTTCTTAAAGCAACTTTTATGAAGCACACGAGCAAACTCCATTGCACCTTGCAGCAGCCAATGGCTGGATAAGGACAGTCAAGCAGCTACTCAAAGCTAATGCACGGGTTGATAAAACAGACTTGTATGAGGTAGGTAATTCAACCACAATTCTTGCAATGATCAAAAACTTATAGAAAATAATGTTGGGCGTTCAAATCGATTCAAATCCTTATTGAGCCTCTGAACATCGAGACGAATGCCAGACACTTTGATCTGAGCCTGGATCAATTCCTGCTGCAAGGAGAGAAGGAGATACAAGAAAACCAAAGCAGGTCTTTGGGATTCATTTATAATCAAATATCAACTTGAAGTCAACGTTTATTTCTGTGACATGACATGTCTTTGTATAAACAATTTGAATAATGGGAATCTCATCATGTTACCTCAACATTGCAGTATCACTACAGTAATTAAAGCCGGTAATTACGAATTCAATGCTCACATGCAGGCATATCATTTTCTGCTTTATTTTCCAGGTTACACCTTTGCATCTAGCCTGCAAGAATGGTCACATCGATATGGTGAAACTTCTTGTCTGCGAGGCGAAAGCCGACATCGTACTCCGTGACAAGCAGGGACTCAACTGCCTCGACTATGCTATCGACAACGGGCACGAGTAAGAACACAAAGCTATATCAATCAGCTGACCCGATTGCCCTTCATCCTTCCCCTCTCTCTCTCTCTCTCTCTCTCTCACTCTCTCTCTCTATCTCTCTCTCTCTCTCTCTAACTCTCTCTCTATCTGTCCACCAATATATAAATATACCTTTTAGACTTTCTCTTTAACCTCTTCAGAAACCTCCTCCCTTTTTAACTATCCCTCGCCCTCTTTACACTCATCTACATAAATTCAGGTGATGATGTTGAAACTTTAAAGGGTTTGAAAGGTTAGGAAGGTTCGTTTTTATTTCTTAAACGGCGTTGGAATGGAAGAGATACAGATAAATGGTACGAAGATAGTTTACAACCAAGACAGTAACCAAAAAAATCATTCAAAAGAGGAGGCACGATAACTCAGTGGTAGAGCAGCGGTCTCGTAACCAGGGGGTCACGGTTTCGAAACAAAGTCAATGCGCTCGTGCCCATTGCTAAGGCATTAATTCTCATTACCAGGTCCCTCAGAGATGACTGTAACAGCGTGCCAACACACAAACAGAATTATCCCGAAACTCTATAAAGAAACGTCGTATAACGAATCATCGTATAGCGAACAGGGCGTCAACACACAAGAAACGTCGTATAGAGAATCATCGTAATTCGTATAGCGGACCGGGCGTCCTCACACACCAGAACAAATATCCGAAACTCTACAGCGAAACGTCGTATATGTGCGCAGTTTGCTACTGCGGTCAAGAAACGGAAACGGAAATAAGAGGTCAAATCTCCTTTCGCGTGCGGTCACGTTAAGCCTCGCCAAGTTATACCGTTCTAGTTCGACCATACGTCCACACACAAAACATTCCGTGATTCTTTATCGAGTTCTAGATCTAAACGATGCCCAGACCCGCGTTTCGTTATACGACGTTTCTTAATACGACGTATCGTTGGTAAGCGTACACACATACACACACACAATATCATCGTACGGTGAACTTTGTGTGTGTGGACACGGGGAAAGACGTCGATCCCCTGGACTTTTACGTACAAGCATATACATATACATGTATTTTTATCAGTCAGGTAACACAATCCTTAATCAAAGAAAGGTTCTTTGGCAACAAACAAATCATAAATTACACACAATTAAGTAATAACATGTTATAAATACATGTTCATGTAGATTCCAAGGGTCTAAAGCTTTGAAGAAAAAACAAACCAGTTATCAAAACTTCAACGTAATGATTGAAAAAACAAAGTCAGAAAGGTTCTTTTACTGCTTAACAGAATATAATCGAGTATCTGACGAAATTTGATAATGTTAGGTCTATCGTAATAACATTTCTTAACATAAAGCTTACGAATGTTATCAAAGGCTGGACATACAAGACACAATGAAAGTTATCACCCTGTACTTTGGGATCACATGAGGAACACAATTCTAGAGGGTGGCTATATAGGCAAGTAACAACATTCAGTGACAGGCAGCATACTATTACCCGATCGAAACGAAATTTAGTGTCTAGTTTTCTCTGACCTTCTTTCGCTTCTCCCCCTCCCTCCCTTCACAATCCTTGTCACGAAACATGAAAACTGCTAGGTGATCCTTGGAGGTTATCAGTTCTCGTGTCATCCTTTGTCCAATGTAGATCTAAACGCTCGCAGCACAAAAGACAAAGCACGAAAAATAGGTAAACGCGAGGTAATGCTACGTTTACACTAAGTTCCCGGCGGCCACGTTAGCCCAGTTTGCCCGAAACGGAGCGCGCCGTGTGATTTTGGCAATTTTTCTTTTTGTTCAAGTTTTGTTAGGTCTTGCCAACTTTTCTCACGGTCTATCACGGTATCCTTGAGGGGCCGTGAGGGGGAGGGGAATCCGAGTCCCGGAGGCTCCAAGGCGCACTATGGTCCGGCCCTTGTTTGCAGGCACAAACCCTGGTCAGTCGTAAAAGAGAGTCTGCACTATAATACTACCGTAGGCCAAATGTACTATAGCTGCTCCTGTATTGACACAACCAGTATGTAGCTGGGCTAGGCTTCTCTCAAGGCACAATGATTTTGTTGATAAAGTGTGAAATTAGGGTCTGTGCTTGCGTTCCCTCTCGCCCCGTCGCGTTCTGATGGGGTCCCTCACGTTTTTCACGTTCTGTCAAGGCTTTTTACGAATGAAACGTCGACGCCGGGCAGATTTGGAGCACGTTTGTGCCTATGTTATAAAAAGAAGGCCTCCCAAGCAACAGTAATCGTTTTATTCTGAGATTTCGACGAAACATCATCATAAATGCCCAAGATGAAGAAGAATTATTGTTTGCATGTTTGCTGGGTGCATACATCCAGTCTTTGCGTCAGCAAGAAGAAGACCAACAGCAGATGCAGAGAGGCAAGGCCAGAGCGAAGCAGGCAGGAAAAAGTCGTACGAGAAGGCCAAGATCAATGTGGGTGCGGTCAAATGGTTATCGGAAGACAGAAGGCAGCAGTTGGGCCACTACTCATCATTACTCACTAGAAAGCTCCCCGCTGGAAATGTCAACGCCTTCCAGAACTATCTAAGGATGCCTCCAGACCTCTTCGATGAGATCATAGAAGAATAACACCAGCAATCGAGAGACAAAATACAAAGTTCCGCTCTGCGCCCTTCCTCCTTAGCCTCAGGTTCAGACTCCAGTTCAGGGACCGAATCAGCAGCAGCAGTAGGACTCCTCTTCATCAGGCGGCGGCGAACGACGAGGATCGATCTTCAGGCTCTCCTGCCCCTCTACTGGTGATGGTGGTGCAGGGCCGGGGGGGGGGGGGCTTCATACGTCTTGGCTTCTTCGGTGGCGTAGCTTGGCCTTCTTTTTGCAAAACTTGGTCTTCTCTCTCCGTATGTAGAGGCGCTAATGTGTCGTCGATTGCTCAGACACGGCGCGCCGTGTCAGACCGTAATAGAACGCAACGTGCTGTAGCGCGCCGGGCCGTAAACGGTCACTCGCTGGGACGCGCCGTGATTGAACGCAACGAAACGACTACCATAAACCCTTCTTTCCGTAAGAACGATGAAGAAAAACAAAATTGGCAAAACAGAAAAAACGCACAGCAGCCGTGGAGCAACTGTGAACAAACGCGCGCTTAACGCGGCAGAACGTGACAACACTTTAAATAATCGTGAGATGCCGGGGAATACACAGGCTTCCCGTCCTACTTCCTCCGTTTACTACGGCCTACTAGGTTTCTCATCCGCACCGTGAGTCCCGTGGATAAATGTTGTCACTTTAAAATTCTGGCCCGGCATCCACGGCAATCACGGCCTGTCACGTTTGCCCATTCCGTCCCCTGCGTTGTCTCGCGTCCATCCCGTTTTGTCCACGGTGGCCTGAAATGTGGTTGCCGTGGCTGCCGGGAACATAGTGTAAACGTAGCAATTGTATAAACGCTCGCGGGGTAGAAACCGATGGGCTCGCTATGGTACGAACAAATAAGACGCAAACCGGAAGTCTTCTCGCTCTAAAGCGCGCGCCCTTGCTCGTGCATTGTTATTTAAAAGGCGCCCGCTCGTTACCTAGTGTTTGAGAAGGAATGTCACCCCGCGTATACCTTAGCAAGTCGTCTGGTGTGAAACCGAGTCACATAGATCTAAGCGGGGTATCAGATGCACACAGTCTATACACTCTAAACTTTTGTTTCGACTTGTTTCAACTTCTTTATCGATCTATCCATGATTCGCACTGTTAATATTTCTTTCTCCCTCTTAATCACTCTCTTTTTACCTACTTCTCATCTTTAGGAGCATTGCCAATTTGATTTTAAGTCATGATAAATGGCGAGAAGTGATGTCTGTATCCAGTCTGGATGACGATACATATGAGAGGACTACACCCATGAGAAAACTCATCAAAAACATGCCAGGTAAATGAACAATTAATGAACACGCTGCAAGCAAAGATCATCGATTTTTATCACATTTCATTGTTTCGACTTTGGTAATTTCTCAGCACTTCAAAGCTTTATATTACTTTTTTGCGGCGCTAGGACAATCCCCCCCCCCGGACATCCCACATGGAAAATTATCCCCTCCCCTTGGGGGTTAGGGGAAATATCTTTGGGGTATTGTCCTTGGGGTTAATTGTCCGGGATGATTGTCTTCGGGGGTGGTCGTCCTGATACGCTTTCTTGCCACTTCATGAAAATGATAAAACTTCCCCTTCCTTCTTCAGATGTTGCTGAGCGAGTCATGGATAAGTGTGTCAAAGTATCGCCAGACGCAGGGCCAAAGAACAGTAACTTTTGGGTTGAGTTTGACTACGAGTTCCTCGCGGATTCCTTCTCCCATTGGGATAGGCCGCAGGATTCCGATGGTAGGTGGTAGTAGTAGTAGTAGTATTAATAGGAGCGGAGGGGATAGTAGAAGTATTAATATTTGTAGTAGTATTAGTGGTAGTAGTAGTTATAGCAGTAGTTATAGTTGTAGTATTATAAGTATTCAAATTAGTAGCTATAGTGGTAGTAGTGGTAGTAGTAGTAGTAGTAGTAGTAGTAGTAGTAGTGGTGGTGGTGGTGGTAGAAGTAGTAGTAGTGTTGGTAGTCGTAGTAATACATTCTATGTCATGAAGGGCCTCAACGAAAACCAGTATTTATTTGCTGATTGGGCTACCCTTCTTTTTAAAGATGTGTAATAAATTTAAAAAAAAAAAAAAATACAGTAGAAGTAGCAGTGGTGGTGGTCTTAGTGGTGGTAGTAGTATAAATTATAGCAGTAGCACCAGAACAATGATAATTATAATACTGTAGTAATGGTAAAGATAATATTAATAATATGAATAATACAATGTTTATGAGGCGCCAAATCCACTTGAAATCAAAAGCTCAAGGTGCACTGGTGTAAAAGATGAAATCTCATTTAGAGCCTTTTTCTACTCTTAAAGACCACCTGCCTGCCAAGTTCCCTTTTTTTAAATTCTTTTGAGATGTGATCAGACTTTATTTCAAACTAGGTTTGACTTTTTTGTTGGGAATTAATCTAAGAGACATTATGATTATCATTGTC